GGGGGGTATGTGGGTTATAACTGATGGATCAATTTCTGGTGAATTTGTCAACTACTGTGATTTGGTGGAAATCTCAGTTAACCATGTGAGGAGTCATCGTAACTTCCGACTCTTCCGCGGACGTTTCAGAACAAGATCATACTTCCTCACCGGTTTGTTATCGTCGTATTTGAGAGTTCAATGCCATATTGAATAAAGCGCCGACTATTGGCATCTTCTCCGAAGCGCGATTAATTCTTTAACAATCAGTGGAGTCGCAGCAGCCAACCAACAGTGATTCAGCGGATAGTCGAGCCCCAGACGGTATCGGCTAACCTCTGTGTATTGCGTAGTGTGGGTATCACTGGGCGCAAATCTTCTGCAAAGTTGATTGAAATAGGAGTGCAAAAGTCTGGTCGGTTCCTGCGATATACTTGGCTCTCAAGTCCGAGTTCGCTGATTCAAAGCCGTGCTTGGGCAGAGGAGGTCTAAAGGTCTCAGGCCCAGATGTACAGATCCATAACTACTGATTATTGTGGTACCAGTTTCCAGAAAGAAGCGGAGAACACCTTCATGAATGGAGTCGACTCTTTCTTACCTCCTCCGGTATGTTGAGGATACGTCTGTCCCTCCCCACCTCCCCCCTCCTCCTCCCCTTTCTTGTTCCCCCATTCTCCCCGTCCTGCATCTTTCTCAAACCACCCCCCTCCATCCAGACCTATTATTACAAACCAGAAATCGCATTTCCCCCCCCGGAGCCTTCTTTTTTTTGCGAACGATTTCTCGATTTATGTGAGTTGTCCTTGCGCAGGGGCCATGCGAATCTTCTCTGTGTCGTTCCGATTCCAATTCTAATGGATGTCCTGCAGGACAGCTCCTGTCTATATTTGGATTTCTGGTGGAGCTGCCATCCTTCTCCTTCGCTCAGTTGAAAGGGGGAAAGGCTGTAGGTAGAGCTGTCTGTGACTTTCTCATCTTTACCCCCCTAGTCCCCCTGTTCACCCTCCAAATCCTCCCAAGACAGGCATATATACCCATCTTGCCGCTGGTAGAATGCTGTTCGACTCAACTAGTACATCTATTAATCGATATCATCCATGAAACTGAAGGCAAAACTTCGCAGTGTTGAAATGAATCTCTCGTTTGGGGCGTCTGCTGTCGCTGCCGGCGATTGCAGCTGGCATTCTGGAGAACCGAGGGCTTGCTATGGGTATAAAGGCTTGTTCTGGGCGACGAGGGCTTGCTATCGGTGCGACAAGGGCTTGATATGGGCAACGAGAGGGCTTGCAATGGGCAACAAGGGCTTGTTAGACAAAAGCCATTTTGCGAGATCAGATCTTGTCTCAAGATCGAGTCCTACATTTGACGCTGGTTTATGAGAAAAAGGTAAAAGATAACGTCGCTTCGTGGACTTTCAAGTTTCAGACCGTCCACGCGTTTTTTCTCTTTCTTTAAGCCACTAGTACCTCTGCTGGTTGGGAAATAGGGAGGCCTCGGGTGGGCGGCCTCCGATATGTTTTTAGGAGGCCGAAACAAAACGAATGCTGCCGAATGAGATCATCAACGGCGGCCGTCGTCTTTTTTTTCCTTTTCATTTTTTTTAATAAAGAAACAGAGCTGCCTTTTACGCATCGGGGGACAACAGCCATATATTTTTCTCTCACCTCACTTATCTTTTCTAACTGGCGTTCTGCCATGTCATCATGGAACATCTTTCTTTTCACTACCGACCACTACTCCTAAGGCTATACAGGGGACCCCTGCAAGCATAGCTTTCCACCTCTCTTCGGTGAAGGGAGGTTACCTCTCTCGGTTGAGAGGGGTAGCGGCATGATTGCCCCTTTGCCCTACCGTTTAGGGTGCAGTCTTGGGGCTGCCGGTGCAGGCCCGGCTAACACAAGGACCAGGCATTTGCCAGTAACTGCCAGTTGTTTTTCCCTGTTTTCCGCACACGGGCGGAGGTACCACTGGTTGCAACCATGAGTACCTCGGAGCCTTTTCTTTTTTTTTATTTTTTTTTATTTTTTATAACCGATTCAGATTACTGTAGGTGGTGGAAAGAGCAGCCCTCTATGGTATCCCTACCGCGGAATGCTCCAATCTATTGGTGGGGAGCTGCACGTGCTGGAAACTGGGTCCAGGGTCACTTTAACATGTAAACCATCCTGAGGTAAAGAACATCCTCCTGAGGTAAAGACCATCATAAGCAAGGTGAAGGTTAGCCCTTTTCGGGTCCCATAGGGACCGCCAGACATGCCTGACCAATCTATCCTGCCCACACCCTCCAAATGACCTTGAGGGTTGTGAAGATCGACTGAAAAAAAAAAAAAAAAAAAGAAAGATCAACTGGCTCTTCGTCCGTAGATTCCAATGCTATTTCTGCTGGAAGAGCAGGGCCAGCTGTGCTCCTTTTCCCAGCCTGGATTTTGCCGTAGGCTGATTTTTGTCGACCCCGTGTGGCTGTGACTGGGTCTTTTTGACTGTGAAGTATATGTTCGACAGCCTATGCCGAGGCTGACAGTTCAGGGTAGGTGCCTAGAAGGGAGAAGGGGACTGGACCTGTGGATCAGCAAGTCCAGCAGTCAAATGCTCCCACGAAACAGAGGGAGAGAGCACACACACAGCCTTCAGGCAGATACAAAAACGCATGGCCCTATGGGTTCATACAAAACATACATAGCCGCTGGGCACATACACATACACACAACTACGATACTGGGCTGCGGGGTGTCTATCAGGTATATGACGGGGTCTACTCACACATGGCTAAGCTCTACGGTAGGGTAGGGATATAAGGCGCTCCGGCTAGTCTGAGTTCCGCCTAGCCTTGGGTAAGCTAGGGGAAGGACGGTAGCATGTGTCCGCGGGCGCTGGCCTGCCTTGCGTAGGTAATCCTGCTTGGTACACTCTGAATTGGGCCTGTAGAAGATTGCACGAGCCTGGCTTCCGAAGTTCCCGTACGGCAAAGGTCCGCTTCCATCAGGGCTGGGAGGTTTGCCCTGCCTTGGTGCTTGTCACTGCTGTCTGGTCCACGACTCCACGTTGCCCTCGATACTGTGGTAGGGTAATGATCCCGAGTGCTGGTCACACTGGGGTAGGATAGTAGGAGGGACAGGGGGTGCGCTGGGAGTATTAACGTGGGGATGGGTAGGGTAGGTGGGGCCTATCCTGTCAGGACAACCATTGGCTGCCTCTTCCGGCAATCAACGCGGGTCTGGTCCTTGGCCTCTACAACACCCTGGGCTTAAAAAAAAAAAAAAAAACACAGAGGGCTTGTCACTGCTGTCGGATCCAAGTTGCCCTCGATACCGGTAGGGTGATGGTCCTGAGTGCTGGTCACACTGAGGTAGGATAGTAGGGACAGGGGGTGTGCTAGGAGTATTAACTGGGGATGGGTAGGGTAAGTGGCCTATCCTGTCAGGACAACCATTGGCTGCCGCTACCAGCAATCACCGCGGGTCTGGTCCTTTTGGCTTCTACAACACCCTGGGCTTATTAAAAAAAAAAAAAAAAAAGCATTGGACTACTTTTCCGTAGCGAAAGTTGCGTTGGCCCACACATGGTGATGTGAAGATGAAAAATGCGTGGAATTGGTGCGATGATTTCTTTCTTTCTTTCTTTCTTTCTTTCTTTCTTTCTTTAAAGGTCCGGCGTATGGTAGAGGGTGGTGCCCAGGGCTCACGAGGTGCCCGTAGTACTCATCCATTGGGAGGTCAGATGGAGAGAGGCGGTTAATGGAAGGCACAAATTTTTCACCGAAACTGTCATATTTCCCTGAATTTTTACTCTTTTCTCAGTTTTTCTTTTTGACTGTTATATATGTGCTTTAGGGCATATCTGTATTCAGTTTCACTGTATTTGAAGCAGTAAGGGCATACTCACACTAGCGTTTTTTTTTGCTAAATGGCAAAATCTGCTATGCTGTTAGAGTCACACTAGGATTTTCGGACCACCAAAATTGCAAACAGGGTAGCATTTGTCAGCGGCCTGGGGGGCCGCGGGGATGGGCATTTTGCCACCACCTCGAGAGGTGGTGGCAAATTCTCTTTTGGCCATCGCAAGTTCTCTTTAGCCTTTTGGGAATTGTTAAAAAAAAAATCCGCTCTTTGTGACCATGATAGGCAGCAATTTTGCAATTGCCAGAGAGTCCCGCTCGTGTCCTTTGTGATTTGTATCCCATGTGTGACCGGGCGGGGTACTATTTCAGCAAACACGGGAAAGAAAATTCAGCAGATTTTGCTAGATTGCCACCGCTGTGTGAGTACGCCCTAACAAAAAACTTAGCAAAAACAGCAGACTCGAAAAAAGCTTTGGCGCACTGCGAAAGCTACTCAGAATAGGGATTTATACTATATAGTGCTCTTGAGTTTGATTTTTTCTTTTTTTTTTTGCCTGATTGGTTTTTTGATGTTTGTATTATGACCCTGCATAGTTTGTTCGCAAAAGTTTCGACAACATTGCTTGTGGTGACGCGGCGAAAAACCCCGAATTTTTGGCCTTCCATTAACTGCTAGTGCAGATGGATTGCGAGGACCAGCCAGGGAGGGTTACCTCAGGATGGCACCATGATGGTACCATGACCTACGCGAATGCTCATCAGATCGCAAGTCGTGCAGACACTGCCCTAATGTCTTCGTGCAGACACTGCCCTACGGTCCCTAACCCTGATGTTAAGGAGAACCCAGGCACAGGTGGGGACCATGGATATGCAGTCATCCCCCATCCGT